CAAGGGTTCATACCTGCAAAATTTCAATTGATTCAGTAAACCCCAACCACTTGTGTCAGCATCTCGAACCACAAAATGAAATGGGGTCCTTCATGTTAAATGTTTGATGGCCTTCATTCTCACCATTTCAGTTTCGGGTCTGTGAAAACTGGACCCTTTTTCAAGCATCCTAAATATGTCTGAGTGTGAGTCCGGTCTTTCGCCAACAACAAAGAGAGCCGATCTGCAGAAACATGAACTCAAAACGAAAAGTCTCAATAGAAGCTCCAAGATTCTCCAAAAGAGATTCATGGGTACACAGAATCACAAGGACAAATCACCTGGCCGCAAGTATATATCATCATCAGCTTTGACGTAGAATTCAGAATCATAAAGCGCATGTGCAGCTTTGAAGAAAGCAAGTCTACAGAACGAAAACAAACAGAAACCGGGTTTTAAAGCTTTACATATTAATCTTCTAAAAGATGTACGGAAACAGGAAAGGAGCCTTTCACTAACGTTTTGTATGGGAGCTTACTGTACTCCTCCTCGATATCTAGCAGTATAAAGTCATCGTATTCTGCAATTTCCTTCCTCAGCTCAGCCATTTTGTGCTCGTCTTTGGTTTTGCCTATAATAAATCTGAAGGCCAATCCAGTTGATTCTTCCAAGCTGCAGAACAGAAAGATGAAAACAGTGAAAACCTTCAAGCTGCAAGAATCAATGAATAGCTCAAACGAAACCATTAGACTAATGCCTCGAGGATCAGGAGCATCCACCATTTCGTTTCATCTGGATGATATTACCAGCTTTGCTGGCTCTGAATTTTGCATATCCAATCTGCATCTGATCAGATTCCTTCAAGATTTGATAAATTACCAAATTCTGAATCCTCGTATCTATTCATGCCACAATTTAGGCAGATTGCCTGAAGATTGGTCATGCATCTATTTCCAAGATAGAACCAATTTAGACGATGGATCAGCTCAACCCTTGTACCAAGATGATTCCGTGAAAAATCCCTAAAGCTAAAAAAGAGAGCTTTCTGTCCAATTTCCATCTACCCAAACAGGCATCGATCCGTGAAGATAATCGAGAACAATGGCGAAACAATTCATTGATCAAGAGAATGGAGAGTGATAAGATCAGTACCGTCTAAGCCCGTCCGGATCCGACGGCATCCATGTCATCCTAAGCGCCCGCCTCCGACCAGCTGAACCGAAACCGGTCTGAATCCCGACGAAACCCATCACCTTGTGCCTCTTCACTTCGCCACCGGCGCCATTTCCGTTTCCATTACCGGAGACGTCCCACACGACGCGAACCGTCGCCGGAGGGGCGTTCGAGAGGCAGTTGCGGCCGACGAATCGGAGGCCCGGAGAGAGAATCGCGGCGAGCCCGAAGAGGAACCCGGCGATTCCGATGGCGAGGGAAGTGAATACGATCAGGACCGTCGATCGGCGCGTGGAGAGAGATGGCCGCGCGTGGAAGAGCTTCGGAGAAGATGGCATGGTGGGGCTGGATCCGATCGGAGAAGCTTACGCTACGAACTCATTCGCAGTGCTCCGGCATAGGCTTTGGAGGGCGTTTCCGACAGTCCTTCTCGAGCTTCCGTTATCAGTCGTCAATGGCGACGGTTTTGTTCCACCCAGAGATCTGGTTGATTCAATTATCCGGATTCAGATCCTGGTCTCAACGGGGAATACACACCCTCCAATATATATATATA